TTGGCATGTCATCCTTTTTTTTGCACTATTCGCATGATAACCTCATTTGCATAACTCGATATAAATACATAATCGGACTAAGGGTAATACCCTTTTAATTTAAAATTGTCTTGAGTGGCTTGTCTTAACTGATTAGAGAGCCGTTTTGACTATTTTAAATTAAAAGTGTATCCCGACAGTGAAACCTAAAAAATCGATTCTTCACCTAAAATTTGGGAATGGAAGAAAAAGAAATGTTCGGCTATTTAAATTTATCGAAAAAATGTTGTTATAGCTTTTAATATATGGTCTCGATATTTGTAAATAATCGAACATTCTTTATATTTCTAAAACGATTTGGTAATTTTAATTTAATTTATTTGAGTGCATTTGAATATTATAATGAAATTTTAATATTATATTGTTTCGAGTTGAGTAGGAATTAATTCTTTCAAGTATTGATAAATTATTCTTTCTCAATATGAAATAATTTAATATTACTACATTTCATTGTAAAATTCACATTTTTTCGGGATCATAAATCAAATCAAGTTCGAATTTGTCAAGTTCAATGCAAATACATTAATTAATTGACTAGGTACCGTTTTAGGACGTTGTGGGGGTGTTAATCCTTTCCCACAAGTAACCGACTCCCGAACTCAGATTTTGGTAACGCATACCTCATTTTGTTGTTTTAATTAAAATTAATTTTTATTTAAAATGACAAAGCATTTTTGGGTGCCCAATCACACCCTAATCAAATATTGGTGGCGACTCTTCGAACCGTATTTTTCTATCGTAAAGGAAATCCAAAATTTTTCGAAACGAGAGATCTTTTAAATCGCATTTGTTTTTAAATTAAAAGAGGATAATTAAGAATTAATGTGATTTTTAAAATCTCACTTTTTCACATTTAAGGAAAAAATCGTTTCGACACTACTATATATATTAAATAATTTAAATTACTTTTACTTTGAGACTTTTAAACATGAAGACAAAGTTCATATTTGTGTATCATCCGACCCATTTTGTGTTCGTATTAACGCACTTTTTTGACAAAAATTATGCTCTTTTTATATTTTAATCACTTTAGTTTTTTTTAATACTAAAACTAAAATTACTTATAACTGTTGATAATTTTATTATAATCAATGATAAATATCAATGGCTTCAGATGTTACTGTGACAACCACAATAATTCTCTAAATAATTTACGCATATGAAATTTCCATTAACTATGTATTACTAGTTCTCATTCAATTCTATAGTTGGATTAACGAGACAAGATATTAAATCATCCGACTCATCCAATTAAGAAATGATCGAAAACTATTTTTAAATAATTTTTTTTGGTTGAAATAGGTAAAAAGACCGCCTAGCATCCCATCTGTCCACTATCAGCAGCTCCTCTGCTTTCTTAGGGTGCATTTGGTTCACGAAATGTAAGATTATATGTGGGAATAAAAGATTATCAGTGGGAATAAAAGATTATCAGGGAATAGAATTACTGGAAATATTGTATTTTGTGTTTATTGGTTTAGCAAGAATGTAAGATTACCGTATTTGGTTAAAAGAATAAAATATTATTGGAATGTATATTTGACCAAATTGTCCTTATTATATATTTGTTTTTTTAACAAGTTGAAAAATATTTATATATTTTCTTTAAAAAATTTAAATTAATATAATTTATATAATTTTTTTACAAAAATGAAAATATAAAAGTGTTTAATGAAAGGGAAAAATTTTATTTTAACCCCTGAACTTCATATAAAATTTTAATTATAGATTTTTTTTGTAAATCTAAAATAGTTTAAGGATAAATTTGTAATTTAATTTTCGTAGAATTTTTATTATTCAATGACAGAATAAAGATATTATTGAAAGAAAAAAAAATTAAAGGTATTTTAGTCCAAAAATCTGGTAATCTAACAATACATAAGAAAAGGGAGGTAATGACATTCCTCGTAATATACCCCAAAAAATCCACTATTGGTAATATAAGATTACCGGGAATGACATTCTCAGCCAACCAAACGGGGGAATGTAGATTACATTCCCATGGGAATCTCACATTCCCCCAACCAAACACACCCTTATGGTAATCTTTTAGAAATTTGGTATCATCATGGTGCTTCCACATCTGCTTGGTGATGAAATCAACAACGCGATTGGCCTCTCTAGGTATGTGTTTCAGGTTTACTTCCCAATTTCTCTTTAACATTTTTTCGATATGTTGTAGAATCGTTAGCTTCATGTGTTCGATCGATTTGTTCTTGATTAGGTTGATAGCTTCTCTATTATCAGATTCTAAGATCACGTTTCTTTCTCCCCTCATCCAATCAATTCTTAAGCCTTCATGGATGCCCTATAATTCTGCTTCCAAAATAGAACATATCCCTGTTTTTTTTCGAAACCCCAATGCCAGTTACCATTACAATCTCTTGCAACAACCCCACACATAGCTTCTCCAGTGATTTGTCTGTTGGTATCATCTGTGTTTATTTTACAGTAATTGATTGTTGGTTTTTGTCATTTGCATCGGGAGCTATCTTTGATTTGTGTGCTGACAGAACTAGTAGAACCCAAACTCTGTAATTCTTGGGTAAGTCTTTTAGCCTGTTGGATAACCGATTTCCTTTCAATCATTTCTGGGTAGAAAATTTTTAAATAATTAATACTATAAAAATGTTTTTATATTTTTATATATATCTGTATAGTCTTTAAATAAGATAATTAAAATTTTTAATTAAAAAATCAACAGAAAGATAATAGATTTTTTAAAAGTAATATCATATATTAAACTAGCCGTAAACGATATTAGAATTCAAAAATCATAATATTTGCGATACAAGACGGATAATTATACGAAAAATAGAAAAGACAACTTGAAGAAGAAGTTCATTGAACGAGACCATGAAAGGTGATATTTGCAGTGCGGCAAACAAAATGGATCGAAACATGGCGATGAACCTTCAGGAGCCGACGTGCTTTTATAAGATGGAAGCTCGCCGCCGAAGTATCAATGTAACCGAACGTTGATTGACGTACCAAATTTGCATACTCAACAACCATAGTGGAGACAGACAACTCCAAGGCTAGGCGAATTCAACTAGTGATGGCTTAGGATTCTACATTGCTAGCATCGGCGATAATGGTTAGCGGAAGTACTGCATGGCCAGCGATCATGAACCCATTAGCAAGAATATCAATTACAACAGTCGCAGGATCCGAGGAAAATACCCATCAGCATTAATTAAATTAGTACTTTGCGCACGAATCAAGTGATCTACCTGTTATTTTTGACGTCTTGAGTTGGAGCATTGCATATGCTAGAGGCATAAGCATTCATTATCAAATGATTTAAAGTTTTTAGAAAGATACTATCTTCTTAAGAGAAAACGACCCACCGGGCTTTTGGAATGTACGTAGGATTAGGATGGTTTGATTGAAGGTAGGAATGGACGTAGGATTAGCATCTTGGAACCGGGCTTATCTTCTTCAGTTGCTTCGGTAGCTTTTGGCCAATGAAAGATCGCTTTGGGTGGCCTGGGTGAAGTTGTATGTCCTTAAAGGGACTGATGTTTGGAGTTTTGTCTCTAAAGCTTGGGTTAGTTGGAGTTTAAGGAAGATTCTCTCTCATAGGAGATTGCAAGACCCTTTTTTGACGCTGCTGGTTCGACCCCTATTTGGACAAGGTGGATTTGGCAGGAGTTAAGGGTGTAAGGGAATACAATTTCATGGCAGAAACCGGTCTTGTTTCCATTCCATATTCCTAGACATTGCTGTTATTTCTTGGTTGGCGTTGCTGGTTTTGGTTTGGTTGGTTTGTTGATTGTTATAGCTTATTTTGTTTTCTTTAGATTTAATACATACATTTTATCTTTAAAAAGTTATAAAATTCTAGAAGGAAAAATAAATTAAAAATTAAAAATATAAAAGTATCTAAAACTAAATATTATTTTAAAATTTTCAGGAAAAACGACCCACCGGTTCCCATTCCTGATTGTACGTATGTTTGCAGACTAACAGCTGGGTGGTGCAATCAATTTGCGATGTCTAATTTTGCCATCCGACAGGTCAGCCAATTTATTGCTCTGTAACTTTCCCTTGTGCTTGTTTTGTTTGGGCTAACCACTCCGAATACCTTTGAATTTTAAGTTTAGTTTTGATTTCATCATCGAATTTTAAATTGATTCATCTGTAACACCGAATTTTAATTTAGAATTTTAAATATGATAATTTGATTTTTGACGTAGGGTTGACGAGGAAGCCAAGAATATAACTTTTTTAATCCATCTAATTATATTCTTTATCAAAATTATGATTTTTCATTAATTTTGAGATGTTGTTTGAACTGTCATTGCCATCGTCTTTTGCAAACACCTTAAACATTATTGAACATGTCTCGTTTTCTTCTACCAATTTGTGAGTTTAGGATTTTTTCCCCTAAAATCTCTTTAAAACATTAAATTAAATAAGATTCTATAATTTTTTTAAGGTTTTAAGTTTTTAGGAATTTAATAATTGAGTTATTTATTCAAAAATTCAAATAGTGAAAAATATTCTTTTAAGAAGATAAATAATATGTCTTTAAATTATTCTTATTTAATGATTATTAAATGAGATCAAAGTATTAAAATGTCATACATTTAGATAGATTTTAATCTATTTTGAATAAATTTTGTAAAAAAAATCAACTCATTAAAATATAGAAGTTAAATGCACATATTTTTATATGAATGTTATCATTAATAGTAACGATAACAAATAGTAGACAGAAATTGATCATTAATGACGACGTAATGTCTACATTAAAATCAAAATTAAAATTTAATATTATAATTAAAACGTTTTAAAATTCAGAGATAATATCAATGAACACTGTAAAGTTAAGTGACATTGGTACTTTACACTGTTGTTTTTTCCCTCGAGTAACATGTTTTTCGACCTTGACTTTTCTCGGTCATGGCTACTACTTTCTGGTTTTTAAACACCATTTCTCGTTTATCTCGGGAAGAGAAAGAAAAAACAATGCCTACCCTTTCTTTATCTGCTGCAATTTTGTTGTTTTCAACCATTTTTCATCCATTTTTGGTTCACCGGGCTGCTAGTTATGATGATCCATTGATTGGAACAAGCAGGGAAACCTTCGAAACAATCATCGCCGGCGGTGGCGGTGGTCATTGGGAAGCTCCTCCTCCTTCTCCTTACAATTACGGCTACCGTCCACCACCACCTCCCCCACCTGTACCAAATTGTCAACCTCCCCCCCCACCAACTCCGCCGCCGCCTCCACCACCACCTCCACCACCACCTCCTGAACCAAAATGTACACTACCACCTCCACCTCCTCCCCCACCTGTACCAAAATGTCAACTTCCCCCACCACCACCTCTGCCGCCGCCGCCTCCACCACCATGTAAGCACCCCACAAAGAGTGGCTGCTTCGAAAACGAGCGACTCAAAAAATCCCACAAGGTTATCCAAAAGTTCCGGAAAAAAATCCGAGACGACGCCAACAGCAGAAAATACATAAACACATGGCGAGGCAGCGACGTCTGTAAATACAAAGGCTTCTATTGTGAGACTCGTCCAGACGTGAACGAAAAAGCCATCGCAGCGGTCGACTTCAACGGCGCCGGATTAGCTGGAAACGACGGTTCCCTTCCCCTCGACGGTTTCATCGACGAGTTACACGACATAACCATCTTCCACGCCAACTCCAACAACTTTACCGGCACGGTTCGTCCCGGTGTCTCCAAGATCAAATACTTATACGAACTCGACCTCAGCAACAACGACTTGTCGGGTGATTTCCCCATGGAAGTCCTTCAAGCCAAAAACTTAACCTTCTTGGACTTAAGGTTCAACTCCATTAAAGGTACGGTTCCACAACAAGTGTTTGATCTAGACCTCGATGTACTTTTCATCAACAACAACAACTTCCAACAAAAACTACCCGAGAATCTCGGCGATACACCGGTTTTATACCTCACATTCGCAAACAACAAGTTCACCGGTCCGATCCCGACGAGCATCGGTAAAGCTTCCAACTTACTCGAAGTGCTTTTCCTCAACAATCAGCTTACAGGATGTTTGCCATACGAGATCGGTAACCTGAGTCAAGCCACCGTGTTCGATGTCGGCACCAATAAGCTAATCGGACCGATCCCGCACTCGTTCGGCTGCTTGAAAAGCATCGAGCTACTCAACTTGGCTAACAATAAGTTGTCTGGGGAAGTACCCGAAATCGTGTGTAAACTCCATAAGCTTCAAAATTTATCCTTGTCGAACAACTACTTCACCCAGGTTGGCCCTGCTTGTAGGGACTTGATATCGAAGAAGATACTCGATGTTCGAAACAACTGCATCTTGGACTTGCCGGATCAAAGATCGAAAGCCGAGTGTGCTGCATTTTTTTCGAGAATATTGCATTGCGATCGGAAGGATTCGTTCAAGTGGATTCCATGCATGAAAGGTGGTGATTATAATTCGAGTTCGAGAGTGAAATCGGGGCAAGAATCAATGGATTCTTCTTCCCCATCTCCGAGAACTTATAGCACACTTATCCCTCACCGGCTGTAAATCGGTGGTGGGTTCTATGGTTGTTTATATGTTTTATGTTACAGTTCTTTGGTAATGATACTATATTGCCGAACTGCAATGTATTGAAGCTTTGTTAAAGAATCATGGTTTGTAATTTGTAAGAATCCTTTGTATTTCAATGTTGGTTAAGTTGTAGGATATTTGTACTAAGGTGTTTGAAAATCTATGTCTAACCAAAACAAAGAAAAAGTGCTATCAAAATCAAAACGAAATTATTATTTTATATTAAAGATGTAAATTTATAAAATTTTAAAGGTAGATAAAAATAAATTTTTAATAAAAAGTACAAATAAAATATATAATAAATTAAAATTTTTACGAGGTAATCATCTCCGCCTGTCCCTCAATCCATCTCTGATCAAAATCACATGATAATTTATCTAGCTTGGTCCACTCGACCCGACCCGAAAATAAAGAATCATTCACCCGAGATCCGACCCTATCAAAATAAGATTTTATCTGATCCGAATCCGACCCGATATATAATTTAAAAATTTGACCCGAAATAATAATAAAAATATTATTTTTATACAATGAAATCGGTGACTTAATTGAAAAAAAATATATATATATAGAGGTATTATTGTAATTATTCTTAAATATATAAGATAAAATTATATATTTTCGGGTCGGGTTATATATTTTTCACCCTAAACCCGACTCGACTCGAACATCATATTTAAAAAAACTGACCCGACCCGACATGAACCCGAAATTTAAAAAAAAAACTGACATAATCAGGTCGAGTTGAGTCGGTACTCATCGAATTTGAGTCTAATGTCCATCCCTAGTCACTGTTGATCAGGGACGGACGCACTTATTGTGATAGTGAGCTTCCAAAGGTGAAACTGGAGGTAGCTATTTAAAAGTGAGCACACCATTTATGTTGCTGTTGAAAGCCCCTTTCTACTCAAATTCTTTCCTTATATTTCAATTTTTTTATAATTATTTATATTTAATTTATTAATAGATTAATTTAAAACATATATTATAAAACAAAAATTCTTGTCATAGACGACTTTCGTACTAACAATAATTTTTTTACTCCGATTTCTAAAATAAACTTATATAAATACTTGTTATCCTCGATGGAGTTTACCCTAAATTTCCGAAAATATTATTATTTCCATCAGTTTTATTATTATCGGACGTTTTATTGATTTTGTTATTTTTTTCTACAGGTTCTGTTATTGTTGTACACTTTACCGAAAATGTTAAAAAATATTGATGTTTTAGGTAGAAATAATAATGTTTTAGGTAATTTTTTACTCGTTTTGTTAATTAAATAATAACAAAATCGGTTTTTTTAGTTATATATTAAGGGTGCCGCACTGTAAAACTTCCCACGGAATCAAAATCGAACATCAAGTAAAATTTTGAAGAACAATGTCTAATTTATTTAATATTTAAATCTATAGAGACTTAAATTGTTAATAGATAAAAAAAATGTAAGACATGTCCCGGTACTAACTAGATATGATTATGGGTCAAGTTGACTTTTTAACTAACCCGAATCAGACTCGAATATTATATCGCATCCATCCAACATTCAAATCAAAATGAATTTAAGGAGATTCATATTAACCTGAAATTATCTCTAAAAATAGAGAACTAAACACAAACCCGATAGAAAATAAAAAAGAAAAACTCATTTTTATTCAATAAAAATAGAGCTAATTGAAAAAAATAGAAAAAAAAACATTATAGTAATTATTTCTAAAAATGTCAACTGCAACATGTTTTCCCTTGACCTTTCCTCTCACCTCAATCGATGGAAAATTTAATTTTCTTCGACAAAGTGTTCACTTACACTTCCATTTATTTTCTATTCCTTCCATTTCTCCTCTTAGTACTACGCCGGAATGATACCGATATGAGCCCAATAGGGTCACCGTTAACATCACCGGCACCGCCACCGGGTGTCGCGACGCAACGATTGTTCTTCAAAGACCGGAGACTTGCCGTTGTTTACCCCATAATCCAAGCATTCAAGACAACGATCACCGAAGATCCACTTAACATAACGGGGAACTGGGTCGGGTCGGACATATGCAGCTACACGGGCTTTTACTGTGATAACCCACCCGACAATGTATCCGCCATCGCCGTCGCCGGCATTGACTTCAACGGGTTTCACTTAGCAGCCCTTACACTCGAAGGTTTCATCGATAACCTCCCCGACCTCGCCATCTTCCATGCGAACTCAAACAAGTTCTCGGGCACCGTACCGGATTTCTCGAAGGTCAGATATTTTTACGAGCTGGACATAAGCAACAACGGCTTCTCCGGCACGTTTCCGACGACAGTCATCGGCATAAAAGACTCATCGTTTCTAGACATCCGTTTTAACTCCTTCGCCGGAGATTTTCAACCAACCACTCGAAGTACTCTTCATTAACAACAACGATTTCACCGCCAAACTACCGGAAAACTTCGGTTCGACACCGGTTCTTTACCTCACATTGGCGAACAACCACTTAACCGGTCCGATCCCGCGAAGCATCGGCAACCTTAACTCGACATTGATAGAGGTTTTACTGCTGAACAACAAATTATCAGGCTGTCTCCCTTTCGAACTAGGGTTTTTAAAAGAACTCAAAGTGTTCGATGTGGAGAGAAACCTGTTAACCGGACCATTGCCCTGCTCCTTGTCGTGCTTGGATTAAATCGAGCTGCTCAACTTTGCTAATAATCTACTGTACTGAGAAGCACCGGAGGAACTGTGTGCGGTTACAAACTTGGTGAACTTGTCGCTTTCGGATAATTTCTTCACCAAAGTAGGCCCAGTTTGCAGAAAGCTGATAAAAAGCGGTGTTCTTGACGTGAGACAGAACTGTATCCCCGGTCTTCCGGACCAGAAGTCGTTGCAGGAATGTGCAGACTGCAGAGTTCTACCTGAAGTACATTAGGTTGTGTCCGTACCCTGCGACGTATAAAATCATTATGTAGACACCCGTTTTTGTCCGGGTCTTTTTTGTATATTATTATTATCGTTATTTTAATTATTATTATTAGCGTTATTATTATTATTTTATTTACATATTACATTCTGTTTCCAGGCCCAGTACAAAGATTCCGGAGCCCAACACCAAAGCCCAATATGCTAATCCAATCATTAAACCTGGACTCTACCCACTGGACTGTGACCTAACCCGATGTGGCCCGTTTGGGGAAAACCCTAAACACATTAGGGTTTTAACCCTAACTCATCAGCCAGCCAGCCAGCCGCCTCTGGCTATTTAGCTTCCCCAGCCTTGCGTGGTCTTCACCGGTCACTCCCGAGCCGAGTGAGCCGCCGCTGGTGATTTCTCGAGTCACTGCCAATCTCTCCAGTCCATCCGTCATCCACAGTGACCCTCAACAGTGAGATAGCAGAGAAATCAATTAAAAATTAAAAAAAAATCCAAGCAAATCTAATCGAATCCAAGAGATGACAACATGAGTGTAGGGATATCATTCCCTACGAACTCAACCATCCATCAGTTAGAAGATATCAACACATGCATCAATAAAAAAAAGGAACCGAATAAAAAGAAAAAAATGGAGATCCATTCGAACCACAACCGAGAAGAAAAAAAAGAGGAGTAGGAGAGGATAATACCTTCATCGGAGGAGTGCCGGAAAGCCAAGTGGTCGCCGGAGTTCAAAGCTTTCGAGAGGTATAATCTTAGATCTAGGGTTGTTAGGTGGTTTTTAGATGAAAATGGTTTAGGTTTCGGGTAAAGGAAGGTGAGGAGATGCTTTTGGGACCATCTGGTCCCTCCGGCCGCCGTGCCAGCAGTCGTGCGTCGCTGCTTGCTACCGCAAGCTCAGCCGGGTCCCTCTCTCCGATGAGAGGAGTTTAAGAGATTTTTGAATCTCTCTCTCCTCTCTATTTTGATAAGAAATGAGAAATGGGGATGAATGGGTAAGCAAGCCCGATTTTGGGCCTTATACATCATTAGTGAAACGACGTAGTTTCACAGGGGGCCTTATGTGTATTTTAGCTTGCGGGGTAACTACAATCTAGGTCCTTCCTCATCTGTAATTTTTTATTTTGGCCATTAATGGAAATGCATTCTATTTTAATTTCAAGCTCTCATGTTTCATATTTCTATTTTAGTCCTTATTATGTGTTATATTATTTATTTATTTATTGCTAATGTTCGACTCTGGTTTTTATATTCGTAAATGTTTCATTTTCGTCCCTGTCTAGTTATTATGCATTTTTGCTAATCTTTCGGATTCTGTCTTATATTTTTGTTTTATTTTATTTTAATCCCCATTTGTAACTGCAATTATTATGAGAATATTTGAATGCGGTCATAGCATTCATGCAAGTTCACATTCTAGTCCATGTTTGTTTGTGTTTATTATTTATGGTGTTTTGACTTCTGCTTCAATGTTTATAGAACACTCATTTGGTCCTTGAATAAAGTTTAGAATATAAAGACTTAAATCCTATAGGTTTAATTTTATTTTATTTTTAGTCATTATATGTTGATTCTGAAACATCTATGTTTATGGGTTTATTACACATCTAGACTTTTATTACTTTATTTTTGTGGTTTGGTCCTATCCTTAGTTTTACTTTAATCTTAATTAATCAGGTGCACTACAATTTGATTATCTCTAAATATGGTTTTGTATTCTCTTGTAGATTGCTTGCGTTTGTTTATATTTTCGTTTATTGTTTGTATCTATGATATTATATTTGCATGCATGTATGTATTTTACAAATTTTGACCTTATATCTATTTATATCCATGTATATGATGTAAATTTAGTTTGATCTCATTTATTTATTTATTTATTTCATAAAGGACCCGTTAGTTAATGTTTTATTACATACTTGATTATAATATTTTGCAAATATTTTATCCTTTATATTTTATTAGGTATACGTGCATCTTATAAATTTTTCAATATATATATTCTAATTATTTTATGTTATATGTTAACTTGTTGCTCGGAAAATTTCAAGAACAATGATTTGTAGAATGGGCGTGGAAAGCATTGCTTGATCGAAGTATTG